AGATGAATTGAAACAGTGGCTCAGGCATAGCAGTGATTGTGAGGATGGTCCAGCATTTAGTAACAGCAGCAAGAGGTAACTTGGAAGGCAGGCCTAATGATTCATTTCCAAAGACCATAGCCTTGAAGATCCTTGGAGCAGTTCTACTCTGCTCACATGTGATCACCATGAGTTGGAATCAACTTAATGTAAACTAATAACAATAAAGGATTACCCCTTAGACCTAGTTGAGAACTGGAATTTGGTGAGGGACCTATGAATTATTGTGAATTTTCAGCCTTCACATTGATAAATAGAGACTGACTGTAATTCTGAAATAATAAATTTTGGAGTTTTTCCATTTGGTCTTTTGAATGAGAAAACTGATGATCAGTGAATAGGTAAGTTACTAGAACTTTAGAAATAGCTCCATAGGTTGTTCCTTGAAGTTACTAACCTTTTAGTACAAATGAAACTTAGCTGAGTTGACAGGTTAAGCACACAGAATAAATGAAATACAAGATATATCTGTCTATCTCAGGGTTTAATACTTTTGAGTTTTTAGATAGTAATTTGAATAGAAGTATACTTTTGTCTGAATAAGTTAGACCATATTTCTTGTAAAGAGGGTCTCAAGTCGTCGACAAGGCACTTTTTCCTTCTTGAAATTGCTGAATTGTGGTCTTGATATTGCTAAGACATGATGAAATAATAAGGCAATTTTAAGAGGTCCAGGACTTTGTTAAGGAGCCTTGTTGGTATAGTGCATAATGTTTTGTACTACTAGCAAAAAGTTTGGCAGTTTGTATTCACCAACTGCTCTGTGGGAAAAGGATTGTCAGTCTTCCTATAAATATCTACAGCCTCCAAAACCTTATGGTTTCCAAGTTATTCTCCTGAAAAATTGTTTCATTTTTCAGTGTACTGTTTAGTCAGAACCAACCCATAGCCAACCCCCTCTAGTGGGTTTTCAGAGGCAGTAAATCTGATAGGAGAAGATAGCCCATAAGAATAGTCAGTTTATGGAACCTATGTTGTAAACATTATTAGGGTTGATGGTTAGTGTATCTTTAGAGGAAACATGCCAGACCAATTTAGATGGTTTTGGGAATGATAGAGAGGAAGGTGCATGGTACTGACAGAATTCTTTTTTATAATTATATTCTAGGGATAACTCTAGAGTATAGATAATGAATTTTCATTTCTATATTTGCATTTTTTAGGCAGTTCTGTCTTGAACTAAATGGACTTGCTGTCAAACTTCAGGTAATATTTTGTTTGAATAAAGCTAAATTTAAAAGTGTTATTTTTCCTTTTTTTTTTTCTGGTAACTCAGTACACTACAAATCCTAACCAAAATATTTAATTATTTTATAATTTTATGTGCATGAGGACAATCTTTCATATTATTATTTTGTATAGTAAGAAATGTACTTATTTTTAACAGAATGAGTGCCATCCAGATACATGTACTCAGATGACAGCAACTGAACAATGGATTTTTCTTTGTGCAGCTCATAAAACTCCCAAAGAGGTGAGCTTGTATGAGACAACAGGATGACGATAAAAACACTATAGCCTAAAATTCTTCAAAACAATGGTGAACAAGTTTTCAGACTTTTAATTTTATTATTTTGAGATTTAATTTGCAGGTCTTTACTACAACAAGATTATTGCCAAAGTGATGCTTTAGGATTTTTTTGTGATTAGTATTATTTCTCTTTATTTGGGTATTTTATAGGCTAGAACTTAACTTTATGATTTACTAGCCGTTAAATAATAAGATTTATCACACTTTGATTCTGTCTTTTGTATAATGATTGGAAAAGTACATCTGTGTAGATTTTTGTTTTATTCATGATGTATTTTGCTAGGAAGAACTATTGATTATTACTAGTTAGTTTTAATCTTTTAAGTATAAATGTTACTTTCTGAGATTTTAGGTTTTGCAGGTCATTATTTTTCCTCCATATTTTATTAAAATCTTTACCTATTTACTGAAATCTGCCATATTTCTCCCTCCATATTGGCTCTCATTGAAGAAATTATTCACATTATTTTTCTCCTTTAAGTTTTGTTAAGGTGAGCTTATAGGTAGGAATAATTGTTTATAGAATGTTGCTTTCATCTTTTAAATAATTCCAATAACTTGATACCCTGTCCATATTCAGTATTTGTAAATAGTCTGAAAAATGTCCTTTACATTTATTTTAATCTGCATTTCCTTCTAATCTGGAGTAGTTTTCTTTTACTTGACAGTTCTGTAAAATTGTACACCTTCAAATGGTTACTCTTAACAGACCTGTCTGGTGCAAAGACAAATCACTCTCAAGTAGCAAAGTTGTTCTTTTGTTTAAAAAAGAGGTAAATTATTAAAAATGGGTATTTGTTACTTTTTTAATCAGATAGTACTGATTTGGCAAATAGGTTTTGTTTAGGATATACATTTTTATGTATGTATATAATAATAATTTGAAGCATATTAATCTTATGTGTTAGGCTACACCAGGGAGATCCCATGTAGCAAATTGATTTAAAATTCTTTAAAATTGGCTCTGTAGTACAGTGGTGAATGATAAAATAATTGCAATTAGAAAACTGAATTAAGAAGGCTAATTTCTTCCTGGCAGATTTTAATGATGCATTTATCGCTGTTAAAATGAAAATACTACCAATAGATGAAGTAATATGAAATTTATACTACTGTTATCACATCTCCTTTTAATATTAAATGGTAATAAATCTGTTTATATATAACCATATATGTCATAAGACTTGGTTTGGAGTTTAAGGACCTTGATTCCATGGGACATCTGGTTAATTGACCGCAAAATGTGTTTATTACTTGTTTTCTACCTCCTATTTGATTGGATAGTGCTGGGGTTATAAAAGCTTACAAATGGCCACCCTGGGCACAATTAGTCTGTGCTCACTTGGAGGCATGGAGAGAGTCAGAACTAGGAGGAGAATGTAGAATGGTAAAGAACTGAATGATGCCTGGCTGTAATTACTAAACATTTTTTTTAAAAAAAATTTATTTTATTAATGAACATTTACAGAGATTTTGGATTTCCATTCATTTACTAAACATTTTGATCAAAGAGTCTACACTAATTTTTACCAGAAGTCTACACTAATTTTTACCAGAAGTGAAAAATATAAAAATAAATAGAACAGCATTTTGCATGTCATGAACTCACACTTTCTGGAGCCATGCAGTGGGAAGAACTCCTAAAACTATTACTTTGAGATAATCTTTAAATTTTAAAATAAAAATAATCCCTTAAAGCCATCTTAAAACTGAAGAATATTTAATTGGTTAAAAAGATTTGCTTTGAGTGTTAGAACCCTTGGGGTCAGTGAGTTTATGTCAGTGAAGGAGGAACAACTCAGAAGAGCAATTTGAGGAATGCAATAGATGCCACTAAATTGTATATGTTGAAACACTTGAACTGATACATATATTTAAAAATTTTTTTTAATTGGTATGTATTTTGATGTGTACATTCCTAACAGCAATAATAAAATTTAGAAAAAATGAGAATAATCATCAGCATTTATTATTTTATAATTTATTATTATTAAGATCAGTGAACAATGAACATTACTTGCTGAGATCTAGCTCCTTTGAATTGATCATATGCTAAGATGGTAGGATTTCTACATTTTTTTTTAAAGTCCACTGAAGCGACTGAAAATGCGAGGGAAAAAATTACTTGTTCAAATACAAGTAAAACTAGGAAAGGACATTTTTAAAATAGCTGTTAGGTAGTCAGGAAATGACAGACTAGTAACTAAAAAGATTGTTGTCATGGGCAGATTTTGAAGTGGAAGAGGCATGATACACAGCACCGGAAGAGGCATGATACACAGCACCTGTAGTGATTTATTTAATGCCTCTGAGAACCAGGGAGAGGCTTTGTAGCTAAAAGGGCAAATAGTTAAATAGTGATTATAGATGACAAAAGTTATAACTTGAGATCCCTTCCATTAAGCTCTTCATCATTCTTAAAGTTATCATAATTTTATATGCATAATTTTACATAAGTTTGTGAAATTTCTATTTTTCTTCAGCCCTGCTTTATCAACTCTTTGCTATTACAGTTGGTGCCAAGAGGAAGTTCCTCTAAAGTGAATTGAGGTTGAGTTAAAATTGACAGAACTCCTCCCCCAACCCCCCAAAAAAAATTCAGAACCAATTAAAGGTTTAATTCTGTGCTGTCTGATAATAGCAGCCAAGAGCCACATGTGACTGTGAAGCAGTTGAAATGTGTGTAGTTCAAATTGAGATGTACTGTAAATGTAAAATACATCCTGGATTTTGAAAATTTAATATAAAAAGAATGTGACAATATTTCATTGAGAGAAAACTGCAGCGATATGTGTATGCACGTGTGTGTGTAAATGAAGTTAGATCCTAATCTCACACATATTAGAAAAATATGAACTCAATTATAGATCAAAGGCCTGAAATGATAAAATTCTTAGAAGAAAGCACAGGTAAAAATTGTTATGGCCCTGGTGTCTTAACTGCTGTCAGAAGCACAAGCAATAGAAGAAAATATAAAGGGTAAATTGGACTTAAACAAAGTTAGAAGTTGTGTTACATTGACTACTATTAAGTAAATGAAAACACAACCTATAGGAAAGGTGAAAATATGTGCAAATCATATATAAGAGGTTTTTTTATCATAAAATCATATGATACAAGTCTTATGTCAAGAAAGATAATTTAGGATTCAATAATAAAAGGCAAATGACCCAGTTAAACACTAGGGAAAGAAGTTGAATAGACAGTTCCATTCATTATAATTGATCCATTGTTGATTTCTCAATAAACACATTACCTATAAGGACATAAAAGATTGCTAGTATCATTGGAAAAAAAGTACAGCCTGAATGCTTCTTGGAGGCAAAGATGATAAAATTTTTTCTCACTTCAGGTATGTTGCTAGGAGAGTTTACTCCTTGGAGAGGGCCATCATGCTTGGAAAATTGGAGGTTCAGTGAAAGAGAGGAAGATTCTCAACCAGATGGTTTGACACAGTGACTGCAGCAGTGGGCTTGAGTGTGTCAGAAAATATGAGGATAGGACAGGACAGGGTTCAGATCTGTTGTTCATATGGTCACTATGGGTTTTACTAAAGTTGATGCACCTTATAACAACATTTATTGGTCATTAGAGAATTATAAATTAAAATCACAATGAAATACTACTTCACATTGTTAGAATAGTTAAAATAGAAAAGATAGTTGATTTGGAGAAATTATAACCTTCATAAATTGCTGGTGGTATAAAAAGTGCTGCAGGCCTTTTGCAAAACAGTTTGGCAGTTTCCAGAGGCAGGCTATTTCGGAAGTGGATGCCATTCCTGCCTCCATGTTTGTTTTAATCTGGGAGCTCCACCAAACACTGTCCACCATGGCTAACCATTATCACATTTGACACATCAGGGTCACAGTGTTTAGCATCACAGCAACCACGAATTGGCTCTGTGTAGCAAATAGACCAGAAGAATGATTGACCAAAACCAATAAAAACCAGGCCTGTGACAATCACCCATCTTTGGCTTGGTAGCATATGCACTAGGCCAACAGAGCTCTCTCATTGCTGTTAAGTGCCATCAAGTCATAGATGACTCATAGACATTAAATATTATAGTAGCCAGAGAGTAAAACCAACCTTTGTCTGTCAAGGGATGAACGGATAAACCAATATGGTTTATTTACAATATCATTATATACATAATTATGTTGTTGTTAGGTGTTGTCAAGTCAACTGCAACTCTCAGTGACCCTATGGATGGACATCTCAGCCAAACCATGCCTTATCCTGCACCATCCTCACAAACATACAATAGTGATATTATCCCTTATTTTGTAATATGTTGTAAATCCCAACATCTGTATGTTAATGAGGCAGGTAGTCCTTAATTTATGATTTATTTAAGTTGCAGTGAAAACCTTAAAATTGTTTACAATTTTTCTCTACCTTTATTATCATTGGTAATATGTCTAATATATACTGCTATAGCCTATAAATTGCTGATGCTATGATTCTCAGATGTTCATTCACAGGTTTTTCCATGTTAAGACTTGCTGATAATAGAAGGCAATAATTTTTTTTAAAAAAATTTGAGGTATTTGAAAAAAATTTTTTTGAGGTATTTATGTCAGAACAATCCTCCATTCATTTTAAGTTTGTAAGTTTTGGTACGAACTATATTAAATATTACAGTCATTCTGAAGTGTGAGAAACTTTTTCGTTAGGATAATTTCTGATCTTTGGAATAAGATATTTATATAATAAGTACACCTAATCTAAGACCTAGAGCTCTCTAGTAATATACTTCTATATCCTTTCTTTTTTAGTGTCCTGCTATAGACTACACTAGGCACACACTTGATGGTGCTGCTTGTCTTCTGAATAGCAATAAATATTTTCCTAGCAGGTAAACAAAAGTGTGGTATTAAGCTTTTTTAACTTTAAGAAATTGATGTTATAAAAACTAAAATTAGGTTTATGACTAATAATGCTGTATTCTTAAAAATGTTTGCTCCCCCCGCCCCCTTGTATATTTGTTCAAAAGTATTCAAGTTTTGAAATTAGAGTTGTGGTTGAATGAAAGTCAGCTTAGAGACCAGGTTTATTAAGTTTTTTTTTCTATAATTATATTTTATT